GCACCTTTGTGCTTCAATGAATCAATAAAGCTCTGAAAAAACTTGATGCTCTGGTTGATCAACGTGTTTATTTTCTTCACCGCGTGAACACTTGGATGGCCGCCCGATTCGTCCACAATGGCCAGTTTCAAATCTACCATTTCATTATACGCTTCAGCGATTTCAAACATCAGCTGTCGGCACACCAGGAGATAATGCTGTGGATTCAACTCCACTAGCAATTCAGTCAGCATGTCTACCCGTCGCTTGTGCATCTTACATCTCCTCTCGAAGTCTTCATCGAAGAAGGCCAGCATCTTGTACAGCTGGCTCATGTCCTGCAAGATTTCCACGTGATTGGACACGTGCCCGTCCAGTACATAGAATTCCTTGGAGATGTTGAGCCACTTTTGACCCTCCAGAAACACCACACGCGCCTGTTGAAGAGGAGAAGAAATTTTTCAGAACTATATGTACGTTACAATGATCCATCATTCGATCGGTTAGTAATAGATTGTACCTTTTCAGGGTCATTCTGGTGTACCTGTAGTTTGTTATTGTTATTGATTGTTTATAGTGGTCAATGAGCTTAGCTACAACTAGCTTGTTCTCAGACATGCTATTTAAACTGAAAGAAAAAATTATTTCACATGAACATACTAGCCTTAAAAATTCCAACTGGCTGGAGGCAGACCAGTTGGCTATTTTAAACATACATGACCGAGGAGTTGAACTAGGGTCTACCGAGAAACAACTCCAGCTTAGTGGTCAGAGTGGGACTTGGTCAAGGTTACCTCATCGTATGTTTTTATTAGGTGGTCCGGCACTGATTGTTCTAGCGATGTCACTTCCAGGGACTCAAATCGAAGGGGCTCTTTCCTGTCACCTTCCTCATCCCCTTCTCCACCTCTGACACTGTCATCATCAGAAATCTCTGCAAAAGTAAAGCTTGAAGTCAGCCAAGGAAATGAGAGAGACTTTTGGCATGAAATTTTAAGAACCAGTGATGATAAAAAGTTGCTGTGTAGGCTTAAACCTAAAGTCTCATTTTTAGTTGTCACTTGCATGATGACTTCAATAATGGTTTAATGGAAACTAACTAAGTCACTCTTATTAACTGGGGAGTATACCTAAATATCTGAAGTTACGGGGGTGGGGGTATGTTATGTTATGGAACAGATCGACCATGAAAAAAAAAGGGCTAGAAAGAACCCAATTGTTCTCATGGGAGCTGTGTGGAGTGTATGGTAAGAACATGGAGAATATGGATATGGCAAGGACATTTTACAGGACTAACACTGTGATCTTAAAATCATTGACCTGAGCGTCATAAAAATTCTCCTCTGACCTTTCTCTGTGTCATGATCTTCATCGTTTTGTTCAGTGCTTGTCAATTCTTGAACACATTTATCCCTTGATGCCCTCAACACATCCATACAATATTTACTCCAGCAGCGGGATATGTCAGCCTTCCTTTGAGGAATCCTTTCCTTTCTCTCACGTTCTTCCTGGCTGTCATCCTCAGACACAGCCTCAACAGGATTAGTTTCTTCAGCTCCAGAGAAAACACGACTGGAACATGCTGTGCAAAACAACAATAAATATAATCATTCTGCATAAATCAAAGCAGCAATTATAAGATCTACTGTATTGTTGATTGTATAAGATTCTGAATTTTAGTACAATTTGAGATGCTTTACTGTGAGGAAAAAAAGCATTCTATGCACTGAGGAGGTTGAAAACCTCCAAAATGTTAATGAATACACCAATGAAATATATAAAAAAAGAAAACCAGATCTTTGAATCCACCAAGAGTGGCCTGTCAACAGACTAGCATTTGGACAAGCCCTACCTTAAAATAAACTTATTCACGAGAGTATGAGTGAATAACAGCTTACAAAAGCTAAACAAATACATACCCAGGCAATGTCGTGCAAGTATGTAGTTTCCTTGTGTAATGTAGTACTGCGACAATGTGGCACAGTTGACAGCCCAGTCTACTGGGTCATACTGTTCTGTCTCCAGTTGACGACGTAGAGTCGTATGGCAGTACATGGCTCCTGTTTCAGAATGCCCCAAGGCTGCATTGACTTGTGCTAAGTAATACAGTGTATGTGTGAAGGTTGCACTGAATGCTCGTTCTCTCTCATGATCTGAATGGAAGTTGTCTTTTGGGTGGAAAAGTCTACAGTGACAAGAAAAGATAAAATTCTCTTTTCAGTTTCAATCAATGCAGTTTGATTTTTGAATGTGATGTGCTACATATACCTAACAGACAAATGTGACTGTTGTGGGACGTGTCCTGTTGTTTGGCCCGAAAGCTGAAGTAAGTCTAAAATGCACTGCCTGCATTTCTAGAACAGTGCCAAAGATAGTAGTCTAATGGCTTGTGTACTGAAACTCTAGATTGAGCAGTTTGGGGTTCAAGCCCTTAGACTAAGAGCAGCCGCTGATTTCTCTTAAGCCATAGAGCAAGATAAAAAAGAAAGTGCACACAAGAGGAAAAATGGCTGCATGTGCAATGGTGAGTTAATGTTTTCTTGCCCTCATGTGCAAGTGTCATCTTTTGTATGACGTTTGATGGACTAAAAGAAAAGAGGGGCTGCTTGTGACCTATCAAGCCTTTGCAGGGGTCATTTTGTTGTATATGCCCAATTATTGGGCATGACACTTTACTCTCCCTTTGCCTCTCTATACCCAGGGGTATAAATGGATACCCAGGAATTTAATGTTGGGGGTAAACCTAGATGGACTAGCATCCAGTCCAGAGGGGAGAAGAAAATCTGTTTACTGTAAATAAAAAAAAATGAAAACTATTTAATATTTCGTTTGGACTTTGACATCACACTTACAGATCATAAAGATCCTCTTATCTGTAACTTATGGTAACTTAATATGTTAACTATCAGCTATTAGTACAATAACATGTAACTTGTTTATTGTTCTTTACTTACTCATGGATTTCGTAAGGTGAGCCGCATTCTTCTTCCTTAGTATAACTATGATACAACTTCTCTGCATCCTGCAGGAATCCCAAAGCTTTTTCAGAATCACCTCTTTTAGACCACAAAATTCCGAGCTCGTTCAAAGCATGCAAGCAAATGGAACAACATCTTTTATCCAACCGATGTTCCTCGAGAGCTCTAATACACCGTTCAATGTGCTCCTCACCCGTGCTTAGCTCCTCAGTTTCAATGTAGTTTTGTCCAATCTGGTAATCAAGGGCAGCTGTTAAGATCTTTACTTTTTCACTTGCAATGTCATCGTCTTGAAATGACGCCAGTCTAGCTTTCAAATCTGACAAGATAACCCTGGCGCTGTACTTCGACTTAAATGGGTCTGTTTCAGGGTCCTCGCGCGATTCTTCCTCTGACAGGTGTCTGGCTTCTTTGTATTTCTCGTATCCTTCATTTCGAAGCCAGTTGTTGATTTCTTCTAGTCTTTCTTCGAAACCAATTTCAATCTGTTCTAACTCCTCCGCCATTTTGAGAGCCTGCGAACAATTGTTTTATCTGCCAGGGTAGGGTAAGAGGATTGCACTTTCCTTACTTGTGACAATAAAATAAAGCAACTTATTTAATTGTCGAGACGTCAAGAGAGATTTAGTTTATATAAAAATTTCATTGTTGTGGTATCGTAGAATGTTGAGTCTAACTTATCAAACATTTTTGCTCACATCTTCTTTTTCCCCTCTCCCCACCCCGATTGCTTCGCCTCAATGCACATTCTAGTCACCAGGCTACCATCGAAAACGGTAAAAATGTCGACTTTGCCGGAGTGCATGAAAGTGTTGATCAAAGAAGAGGAGAAATCGTCTTATATTTACAAAGACATCCCTGTGCCACAACCTAACACAGGAGACTTGCTTTTGAAAGTCCTTAAAGTTTCTATATGTGGCTCAGATACCGTTCTCTATCAATGGAATGAAGGTAAGGCACAACACGTTCGATCGACATCGCGCATGATGTGAGGCTAATAATACCAATATTATTGTAAGGTTATGTTACCTCATCAGCTGGTACCCATACTACAGTTTTTAGCAGCTTATAGGTGTTTTAGGCTGCGTCTGTCTTGGTGTGACTCATGTAACGGTTATGCAAATCCCCATGCCTAAGTACAGTATACATTGAATGTTTCGATAGTATTGTAGCTATACATGACAACAGTTCGTACATGGCATGCATGCTGTGAATGAACCTGAATGCACAGTCTATCACGAGGTGTTACGATACTGCGTGGTGACCTTCCATCCATGTTTGGGGCAGGGAGGGGGTGGAGTGGTGGGTGGAGAAGACTTGCTCCAAAATGAGCATGCAGCAGCTCTTATAATGTCTCACATGAGTCGCTCCATATCCTTTAAGCATAGTTAGTAACTATGCTTTAAGGGAACAATAGAACAAAAAACAGAAACAAAGCCCTGAAACAATAACAGCTGCTGCAATAATAAAATAATAGCAGCTTGCGAGACCTGCTACATTTCTGCCAAAAAGGATCAAAAAAGACAACTCAGTAGAGAGATGTTCTGCTGCAGATCTATGTAGAGATGAAAAGCTCCAAGGATGAAAAAATCCAAGTCAAAAAAGAAAGAAACAAGGAAGTTAGCTTATTCTAGCTGGACACCAATATGGGAACAGTTTCATTTTTTACAATTGCACTCTTCATATGATGAGGTAAGATGATACCAATCTTCAGGTCCTTCTGTTATGTACTCACTTTTTTACTTTTTTTCTGTAGCTGCAAGGACAATAGCAACCTTACCTTTCATTCCTGGTCATGAGTGTGTGGGAGAGGTAACACTAATTTTGTAATATTATACTTTTATTGCTAAATTACTCTTTGATTAAATTTTGACCAGCAGATTAATAGATCATATCATTAGGTTGTGCAGGTCGGCCCAGGTTGTGGAGATGAATTTTCAGTTGGTCAACGAGTCTGTTGTGAGAATCACTTCTACTGTGGAAAATGCTATCAGTGTTTGCATGGTAAGAGAGCAATAAGATGATGATGTCATTAAATTAATATTAACAGTGAACTTCGCAAACCCTGCAAGGTTTTAACTTTATAGACATGGTGTTATGTTTTGTTATTCAGAGTTGCTGGTTACATTTCATTAGCAACTGTACCAGTGATGTTAATTGAATGCTTAGCAGGTGCAATGGCCTGAATTGGTGGGTACTGTGTGACCAATTAATCATTATTATTTTTTTTGTGGCTTGCCAGATTTACGCCACATTTGCCAAAACTTGAATCAGTTTGGCCATGGAAGAGGAACAATTTATGGAGGTAAAAAATGTTACTTACAAGTTCATGGTCAGTATAGTAATGTGAATTGGTAGTAAGAATAATTGAGAGCAATTTATTGGATGTCTTTTCTGCAGGGTTTGCCCAGTATACCATTATTCCAGCTCGCTATTGTTATAAACTGAAGACAAACCTTGATGTTGACAGGGCCTGCTTACTGGAACGTAAGAGACTTACATGCAAATCACGAGCTTGAGATTTATTGTCGTAATTGTGTTTATAATATCAGATGAGCTAGATAACGATCTCACTTGTCCTATAAATGAGGGGTTGGGAGGGTAGTCAGACTGCTGAGGGTAAGAACCTGGACAAAATGGGAACAAGGAATGGTTTTCCTCACAGGGTGGTGGGGGGTGGGGGACAAGAAAGGGTAAGAAATGTTTTTAGAATTATTTGCGATGTTTTTGTACAAAATGAAAAAATCTATGTATA